TAGACCAAACAGCCCCAGTTCCCTTAACCCATCTTTGAATGTCTGCCGTGTCCTGGAAGGGCCACACCTTCCTCTGGACTCTCTCCGTGTCCTTCCCAGAATGTGGCAGCCAGTCCAAAATGGGCCCTCTTGGGGTGTCACATGGGATGAGATGGGTGATTATGGGGCGTGCCCAAGGCCTGTGTGCTGCGTTCATGAATTACTCATTGGGTGGTAGACTGAGCATAACTGGAGGTCACTTTGGGTGTTTCAGGACTCACTGGGGAAGTGCAGCCCCACTTGGAGGTTTGCAGTGGACAGTACCTGTGGTTGCCCAGCAAGTAGCAGCTGGTAGAGCCAGGACTGTAACTTGGCCTAGGCTGCCTGACTCCATCAGGGCTCCTGTGATTGGGAGCCTGGGTTCTCTGCCAAGTGAGCTCCCACAGAGGCCCTGCTGAGGCCAGCCTGGGGGCACTGACCACTGAACTTCCCTCTCTGTCCATTCAACACAGCTTCTGGAAGGAACATCACTTTCAAGCCATCAGTCTTGTGAAGAAAGCCCTGGCGGCATCTTATGGGGCCAGCCCTCCCAGCATGACCTCAGCAGCCCTCAGGTGGATGTACCATCACTCCAAACTCCAGGTGATGCCCCAGGGGCCCCAGGAGCCCACCCGTCCCCATAAGTCTTGAGCCCTTTGGCTTTTATCTCCCTGATCAACACTAATTTTAACATAGCTAACAAAGAAATCATAAATGAATTATAGGAAAAGGATGTTTCCTGAAAACGTTTAGGCAGACCAAGTCAAGAGATTAACAACATTAAATGTATATTGACTGACAAGAGTGTTTACTTGTATCACGTTAAGGCCAGGTGCCAAAAGCTGGTACTGTGCATCAGTCATTAAGGAGTTAATCCAGCACTGTGCTGAGCATTAAGGATAACAGAGAAAGGCAAAAGATGGCCTCTGCCTGGAGGAGCTCCCAGTCTGGGTACCACCGCTGTCCTCCCTGTGTGACCTCAGCTGAGTGGCTGCTGTGATCAGGGTGTTTCTTGTATTATCGGGGCTCTGGATCCCTCCGTGGGCATCATGCCATCCACCTTCAGAGGTCCTTACCCTAGCAGCCCATTCCATCCTCCTGTCTTGTCAGATGGGATGGACAACTTCCTGGCTTCTGTGTCAGGAAGACCCGAGTTAGAATCCAGCCTTGTGCAGTCATTTACTGTATGGCCATGGACAATTTGCATAACCTCAATGGGCCTTAGGTCCCTCCTCTGAAATTTGGGAGTAATGGTCCTCCCTAGGGCTCTTGCGATACATGGAGGGCCTGCCTGCATGGGCAAAGCTGGGTTGGGGCATAATCCTTCCTTCAGTTTGATTGGATGTAGAGTGCCTCTCGGCGTGTTACAGGAAGGATGACCGAGAGTCAGGAGAGCTTATGCAGGAGCCGTGCTTGGTCACGGCCCCAGCCTGCTCGGACTCCCCGAGTGGTGGCCTGTGGTAGCAGCCCTGGAGCACCAGTGGGAGCCTAACGATGCCAGAGAGATGATGGACTTTTGTGGTGAGGGAGATCCAAATAACTGGAGTTTAGGCAGCTGGGTGGTAAAGTGGATAGAGCGCTGGGCCGAGACCTGAGTTCAAATCCAGCCTCAGACAGTTACTAGCTGTCTGACCCTGGGCAAGTCACTTGACCTCTGTTTGCTATAATACTTTGGAGAAGGAAAATGGCAAACCACTATAGTACCTTTTTTTGGGAGAGCTAAGGGGCGCAGCGGGTAGATTACTGGGGCAGGAGTCAGGGACTCCTCTTCCTGAGTTCAAACTTGACCTTATTCACTTATAGCTTTGTGACCCTGGGCAATCATGCAACCCTGTTTGCTTCAGTTTCCTCATCTGTAAAATGAGCTAGAGAAGGAAAAGGCAAACCTCTCCACTATCTTTGCCAAGAAAACCCCAAATGGAGTCACAAAGAGTCTGACAAAAACATAATTTGCAAAGTGCTTTACACGTGTTACCTCATTTGGTCCTCAGTAACTCTGTGAGGTAGGCTCTATTACTGTCCCCATTTTATAGGTGAGGAAACTGAGGCAGAGGTTAAGTGATTTGTCCAGGGTCCCGTAGCTAGTAAGTGTCTGAGACAAGATCGGAACCCTGACTCCAAGCCTCATATTCTTGGGCACCTACAAAAAAAAGTAAGAGACCTTTCCCACCCTCATGGAGTCATAGTGGGAGATCCAAGGGATCCCCGTGGAGCTAGCTCATGTCACCGTCGCTGAATTTTGAGCATGACAGCTGGCAATCATAACTGCGAAGAAATTTTTACAGCAATTCTGATACAAAGACCTCATTTTGCAAATAGAGAACTGAGTCAAGTTTATACAAATAAGAGCCATTCCTCAGTTGACAAATGGTCAAGAGATATGAACAGGCAGTTTTCAGATAAAGTAATCAAAGCTGTCTGTAGTCATATGAAAAAATGCCCTAAGTCGTTATTGATTAAAGAAATGCAAATTAAAATTATCAGAAACAAATTTTTTGAGCGTGAGCTCAAACGCTACGGTTTGTCTTCTGCCTATCACTGCCCTGAGCAGGCTTGATTTATTATTTTAGTCTGTGGACTTAAGGAATCAATGGAGAAAATGTTAATGAAGTAGATTAAATTTAAAAGTATGTTGTTAGGCACATGTCCTCCCCCAGAGAGCTAGTTGTCAAACATTTACCACTGCATCCCCCTTTCCTGAGAGCTGGATGTTAAACATTTACCCCTCTACCTCAACCCCATACCTCTCTCATATGACCTGCACACATACCTGGTTCTCTGCCTCCTCTCCTGCCAGGGTGCCCGTGGAGACGCCGTCATCCTGGGCATGTCCAGCCTGGAGCAGCTGCAGCAGAACCTGGCAGCAGCAGAAGAGGGCCCTCTGGAGCCTGGGGTGGTGAAGGCCTTTGACGATGCCTGGAACCTCGTCGCCCACGAATGTCCGAGCTACTTCCGCTAGCTCCAGCCCTGGTGGTGGAGAGAGGCCCCCTCACTGATGCTGGCTGTCCCCATGCTCTCAGCCCCATCAGCCAGCCTTTGCCTTAACCTGCTTCAGCCTGAGCTCTGTCTTTCAAATTGTCCCTGTTCTCTGAATCCATGGTTTTCTAGCCTCCTTCCTGGAGGTGAGATCTCTGGCCCCCTGCCCTGTTGCTCTTTCTGTTGAGAAGGGTGAGGGCCACGACCAGCTCTGTCCTGTCCTGTTGGAATAAGAGCAATTGTTGCACAAGAGAGTGTCCTGGAGTGAATTATGAGCAGGGCTCTTCTGGGGCCTGGGGTTGCTTGGGTCCTTGGTGGGAAGAGGCAGCTCAGCAGCAGATCCTGGCTCCTATCTGAACAGCAGGCCACTGGCGGGTGTTGGACAAGGAATGGAGGCCTCCACGTCTGAACAAGGCTCCTCTGGGCAGTACACCAGACATGGTCTGCTTTGGCTACCTTACCAGCCCCTGATCCTAACTAAATCTGTCCCCTGGCCTGATGTCTGAGACCAGGCAGAACCAGGCTAATCCCTCCAGCACTGGCCGTGCGGTCCCACGCCAAGTCAGCCTTCCTGGCGTCCCTGAAGTCTTCTGTCCTCTGGCCAGGCCTACTGTGTCCCACGTCTCCGTCCCACGGGGCCAACCACTCTCACAGCTGTCCAGCATATGTTACCACCACCTCCTCTTTGCCAGGGAGAGCTGGTGCTACTTCCCTTTTCAAAACTGGGGGCTTAGGAAAGTTATCCCCAAATGAGGAGAAAGGGAGTTTCACGGGGGTGGGGGCAGTGTCAACTTGTGATAAAATCATATTGAAGCAAACATGGGTCTTTCAAATGGAGTGGGAAGTGTCTGAGATCTGGGTTCAAATCCTGACTCTTAAATCTACCACATGCCCACAGAAATGCGATGAAGCTTCCCCTTGCTCATCTGAAAAACATGAAGGATACTTGTAGAACCCTGCGAGCTAGTAAGGGGTACTTGAGGGAAGCGTGAGCTCTGACCCAATTGGAAAGACCAAAGTTCAAAATAAGCTCTAGCACCATCAGTTCAGTCCTGGGTAAGTCACTCTTGCCTTATGTGGAAGAGGGAGTTTGACAGACACCCAAACTAAGCAGGAAGAATGGTCCCAACTAGCATGGGAGGCAGTGTCTGTCACTCTGATCACAGGCCTCAGGAAAGGGACACAGGCCCACTTAGACCAGCAGCCAGGAATGACAATAGCAGCTAACATTTATGTAATACTTACTATGTGCCAGGCACTGTGCTGAGCACTTTGTAATTATGATGTCATTTAATTCGATTTCCATTTTATAGATGAGGAGACTGAGGCAAACAGGTGAAGTGCCTGAGATCAGATCTGAACTCTGGGCTTTGACTCCTAAGTCCCTCACTGTATGCACTGAGCCACCCAGCTGCCTCAGATAACAGAAACAGCAACTCAGCAGCCTGATTTACTCATTTATGAAGCAGCTAGTATGTGTGAGGTCATGACATCATAGATCTGGACCTGGAAAGTATATGATTCTTTCTAGTCCAACCCTATCATTTTACAGATGAGGAAACCGAGGCCCAGGTTAATGACTTGCCCAAGGTCACACATACCCTATGCCTCTGAGGTGGAGTTTGAACCTAGATCCAGTATTCTGTACTGTTACTTAGCCTTAATCACTGAATGGGTGTTGCCTAGACAAACTGAGACCTGGGAAACCTCTTACCTTAAAAAGGCCAAGGTCTCCAACTGCCTCCTGGGCCATCTCCAGTCATCCTGATCCATATCTGGCCACTGGACCCAGATGGCTCCAGAGGAGAAAGTGAGGCTGGTGACCGCACAGCCCTCCTTCACTTCAATCCACGTTACGGCATCACCTCCCTGATGTCAAGGTCCTCTTGGACAACAAAGGACAAACAACTCCAACTTTTTAGTTGTGACTGAGATAAAGCACATTGCAAACCTCAGTGCCATGAGAATGCAGTAATCACTCCTTGAACAGAACACCTCTGAGGCTGTTTGCACCACGAAAAGCTTTTTAATGGTTTTACACGCACATTCTTTTAAGTGCCAGAACTCTCCACCTGCCCAGAGCAATGGTTTTGGGTCCTCAGTCAAGCCCCAGAAGTTAGCCCAGCTAGTCTCTGGTAGAAAACACACAAATAGCACCAGCTTTCCTCTAACTGGCCTAGGACAGCCCCATCCTGGCACCCGTGGATAAAAACGGGGCTTATCTCACGGGATTTCCCCCTGAGCTCTCTCACCTGTCTTTTGCCTCTTGTTGTATCCCCAGTACTCAGCACAATGCCTGGAACATAGTAAGTGCTTCACAAATGTTGACTGAAATCCTCTCCATCTGCCCAGGATTAGTGCTGTTTCCAATCAGTTACTTGTAGCCACGACTGCAAACACTGGCTTGGTGAGGACGTCCCTTGTTACCAGTGTCCTTGTGGGAAGATCACGCATTTCTGTTCTACCGCATAGGAAAATGAGGCTCAGCCAGGTCTCTGACCCAGGATTAGGAAGCCAGCTCTCCTAACTCAGGGGCTCACTGAATAGATAACACTCCCATCACCTGAACGTGGGGGGTATGAACACTTGTTTAGGCTTCCCAGGCTTCCTTCTGGGCATGGGTCCTCAAGTTCTCCCAGCTGGAGGTCTGGCTAAGTGCTTTTCCAATTCAGGCCCTGGTTTGCCCAAGTCAGGCAGCCAACAAGCATTCATTATGTGCTGAGTACTGTGGGGCTAGAGAGGCAAAAGACAGTCCCTGCCCACAGAGAGACAACGTGTAAACAACAGTGTAGAAATAAGACACGGCCAGGGGAAATGGGGAGGGAATCCAGGGAAGGCATTAAGGATGGAGGGGTTTTAGCTGGGAAAAAGAAAGGAAACCTAGCCTGGGGGTTCCTAATCTGTTTGAAAATATTTAGATAATTGTATTTCAATATGACTGGTTTCCTTTGTGAGGCTGGAATTTTGAACACTCAAAAACATTCTGAGAAAGGGTCCACAGGGGCCACAGCAGAAATGGGCAAGACCCCCTAGGATCAGGGGTGGCTAACCTGTGGCCTCGAGGCCATTTGTGGTCCTCAAGTGCAGTCCTTTCCTTGAGAACCTTGAGGGCCACATGTGGCCTCGAGACCGCAACATTCTGAGCCCAGGGGCTGTTGAGAATGGCACCCCCAGCGGGTCGTCTGGTGCTCCTGTCATCACTGGCCCCAAGCAGGTACCACCTTCTATGCCTCTGGAACTGTGAGAAAGAGCATGGCACAGTGGGATGAGCACTGGATTCTGCAATCAAAACTTGGGCTTGAGTCAGTTTCCTCATCTCTAAAACAGAGATAACACTCAACACACCCATCTCAGAGGGATGTCTTGAGGATATTTTGCAAAACTTCAAAAAGTGCTATATAAATGTGAGTTAGCATTGCGGGGGGTGGTAAAGTTGAGATGGCGTGCTTGCTCCCCTAGGGCCTAGAGCTAAGGCAAGCACTGATGTTTCAAGCACGGCTCTTATTGTCTCCACCTCACAGACCAATCCAGGATATCTGGCACTGTGGACACTGGACCGTACTTGCATGTGAAGGAACCCAACTGAGAGCACTGGGCCCCTCCTCTCAGGGTCCTAGCTGCCCCAGCCCCTTTGTCCTTCCTACAGCTGACCACTTCATGCAGTGGTACCAGGGGCCGCAACTTCCAAAATCCCAATTTCTATCACAGACGTCTGGAGCAGGGGGAAGCGAGCGGGGCTGAGAGAAGCACCAGGACAGTCACCTCCATTCCTGTTGAGCCTCTGGGGCTCGAAGCATTTGGGCAGAAGGCCAGGCCCTGCCAGCCCTCACAGCAAGGAGCCACATTCTTCCCTTTGCCCCTAGGGAGAGCCGAGGTGCACCCACTCCATGGACAAGGCTTTATTCTATATGAAAATACAGTCACGTGTGCCCCTGCACCTCTCTCCCTCCTGAGAGTCCTGCAAAGTCAGTCTCTCTTCCCTTAGAGAAGGGAGGCAGCCACTCAGAGAGGCTGGACAGGGTAAAGTCCTGCACCCTTGTGAGGGTTCCCCTGAGCCGTGCTGTCCCTGCTCAGTCATCATCCTCCACATCTTCTGATTCCTTTGAGGAGCTGTTGTCATCATCATTGTCCTCCTCGGCGTCCTCCCCCAGATGCTCAAACTTCCCTGATTCAGCCTGCCACAGGTATTTCATGTTAACTTTGAATTCTGCCATCTCGAACCCAAACAGCTTCTGAAGAGACAAAGCAGAGGGGTCAGGGGCAGTGAAAAGGGGGAAGGGGGGTGGGGGAGAGGCTTGGGCTCAGTCTTCCCTTCTGCTCACTGGCCCTCCCCATTACTCACCAGGACTCGAGCCTGCTCGGGAGTCAGCACATCGCCCTCTTTACACACTTGGTAGTCAGAGATGAGGGTCACCACACCTGCAGAGAAGGTCCTGGTAAAATGGGCTCTCTGTCCCAGAAAAAGCGGGATGCCTGCCAGTGGGGGCAAATGCCAGCTTCCTTCAGGGGTGATGGAGCTAATCTCTTCCTTTTTTCTGGTATCATTTGTTTTCAACTTATTATCATTTCCTAATATATCCTTTCCTCTTGCTTCCCTGCCAGGCCACCCCTTATGACAGAGGGGGGAAAAGGCATTTGACAAAACCACCCATCAGCATGTCTGACAGCGTATGTGAGCTTCCACAGTCCACCACATCTGAGAAGTCGAGAGGGAGGTTCAGGCCAAGTTTCCAACACCCACACAGCCCACGTGTCCTTTACCTTTCTTGAGGGCAGTGGGCAGACCGAGCTGTCTCAGCTGAGGCTCCATGGAGTGGGGGAACTGCTCCAGGGGCCCTGCATCCAGGCTGACGGTGAAGGTCGCTTTGTTACCAGCCCGGGCGTAATCCATTTCTGTATACCTACTGAACCACCTGGGCAGAAGGAAGTGGGAGAGGAGTCAGTGGCCCCAGTGGGGGCTCATCTGAGCCAGGCCCTACCCTGTATGCCTGCTCCACAGCCCCCTGACCTAAGGTTATGGAGGGCAGGGGCCGGGTCATCTGTTTGTCTTTGTATCATATGTTCATGGACCTGGAGCTCAAAGAGACTGTGGCAGTCACTTGTCTAACCCACTCATCTTACAGATGGGGAAACTGAGGCCCTAAGGGAGGGATTGTATGACTTGTCCAAAGTCAGAGGTGGGATCTGAGACAGTACAGAGTACTGGATCTAGGTTCAAACTCCACTTCTGACGAATAGGTTATGTGTGACCTTGGGCAAGTCATTAACCTCCTGGGCCTCAGTTTCCCCATCTGTAAAATGACAGGGTTGGAGCAGGAAGACTTTGAGGTCCCTTCTCAGTCTAGATCTATGATCTCACAACCTTCTCACACACGCTGGCTGCTTCCAAAATGAGTAAATTAGGCTGCAGAGTAGCCCGTGATCTCTGGTTTGCTGTTGTTTCTCTGTCTGAGGCAGCTGGGTGGCTCAGTACATACAGTGAGGGACTTAGGAGTCAGGAAGCCCTGAGTTCAAATCTAATCTCAAACACCTACTAGCTGTGTGACCCCAGGCAAGTCACTTCACCTGTTTGCCTCAGTCTCCTCATCTATAAAATGGGAATAATAGCATCCACCTCCTAGGGTTGTTGCAGAATTAAATGACATAATAATTACAAACTGCCTAGCAGACAGTGTTATACAAATGTTAGCTGCCATTATAATTGCTATTCCTGGCTGCTAGTCCAAATGGGCCTATGTCCCCTTTCTGAGGCCTGCGACCAGGTGATAGACACTGCCCGCCATGCCATTCTTCCTGCTTAGTTTGGGTGTCTGGGTGAAGAAGCCTGGGCTGGCACCACCCTGTGACATCACGATGTTTCAGTTCAGTCTTTCTGACCCCAGTTCTATTAGAACAAAACTCTGCCCTGGGGGGTTCCACTGGAAGGTGGGAGTCCCCTGCCTCTCGTACACCTGGCCCTGGACCCAGCAGCATTTACTAAACAGGAAGAAGGCTGGTGGGCCTGGAAAGCCCCCAGCACCACCAAGTCTCTGGAACCCAGCTGTGAGTCAGCTGCCTTCTGGCCAGAGAGGTGAACCGATCCCCCCAAGACGCAGTCCTTCGGGTGCCGTGTCTGCCTCTCTCCTCAATCACAAATCCTCCCCTAGTCTTAAAACACTTACTCATTCACTTCCTTCTTTGTTCTGTTGGTGAACAAGAGACCGACTTCACCCCTCAGCTTCTTGCTGACCTTTGGGGAGCAAAAATCTTGAGTCACAAAGAAAGTTCCCACTGGAGCTGGCAGAAGCAGACCCATTCCCTCCACCTTGGTTCAGAAATCCCCTCCATACCATTCCTGAAATCTTTCCAGCCATGGCTTGAACTTTACTGAGGACAAGGAAATCACTACCTAGCCCTGTAGGCAGGGGGTATTATTATCATTAGCAAGGCAATCCATGTCACTGCTGAGTAGCTTTGGGGCGTTCTGCACACTGAGCCCCTAGAATCGCATCCCATTATTTCCCTCCTGACAAGTTATTCCTTTTGTGTGTGTGTGTGTGTGTGTGTGTGTATATTAGCCAGGGCATTTTGGTTACTTTCATACACAAAAGGATCATTAGCTCTTGGGCAGATATGTAAGAGGTCCCATGGCCACACTCTCCCACCAAAGCTAGCGAGAACACAGCTGACCAATTTAGTCTAAAGACTGGGCAGAAGAGACAAAAGATTAAATTGGGGGTGGTCCGGGACTGAAAGATGCAAGCAAGGAAAATGCCACGTCTGATGGATGCAGGCCAGACTGGGAGGATCAAGGACAAGAAAGTGCTTTCCGTGGTCCTGCCCAGGTGTGGCCTTCTTTACTGTGGGAGACATGTTTCTCCATAGTCTCCAAGCTAGCAATACCTAATCTACCTGCAAAAACTGCAGTGATGTCACTCCCTATGGAATCAGGTGCTCTAATTTGGCATCTGTGAACTTGCTTTAAAAAAAACCAAACCAACTCGATTTTGATCACTGTATTTCAACAGCATTAGTTTCCTGTGTAATCCCATGTTCTTATTCTGTAGATTTAAAAACCTCCTTCTTAGATGGATGGGGTCTGTGGGCCTCGCCAGAGACACTGCCAAAGGAGGGACCAAAACGCATCAAAACAAGACAGGACTAGGGCGGGCACCCTACATTCCCAACTGGTCCTGCTTTTACTCTGTGTCCCTTTGGAGGAAAGAGAAATGAAAGGCTTTGGTGGATGAGTAAGTGGGGAGGGGGAGGAGTGAGGTGACCACTGCAGGGAGGGGGCAGAGACTGGGCCTTCCAGATGCGTGGCCCCAGGCTTCAAAAGCCCCCAGGGCTCTCGATGTCCTAGTCAAACAGACTTTCGCAGCAGAGGGGCATGGAACTGGCTAAAGGGGGCCCTGCTGAGACCAGGAGAATGGGATCTCCCCTCCTTGAAGAACAGGGAACGAGGGCTCACCTGGTGCAAGTTGTCTTTATACTCGTCAGCAGGACCTCGGCCCAAAGCCACCATCATAACTTTGTTCTTGCCGAAGAAAATCCTGAAGAAAAAGACAATGGGATCATCAGGGAGGCATCTCTCTTCTTCTGGGCCTTCTTTTTACTTTCTAGGGAAATTATGCAAGGTGGTAGGTGCCCTGTGACCTGAAGATCAGAGATTCAACCACCAGGAAACTAGGACCAGAAGACACAGGTTCTGCTGCTTCTTCATTGTATGCCTGTGGACGTGTCCCTCCACCTCCACTTCCAGTTTTAAAATGAGACCAGGCCTTGATCTGCTCATTCTTGGGGGAGGTGGGCATGCTGTGAGGAAAGTGGGCCATAAGCCCTGGGCAGCTACAGAATGGAAATCACCATCACCATTACTGGGGTGCCTGCCTGATGCTCCTAGACTGGACTCCACAGACCTTCCGAGTCCTACGGAATCGGCCTACAATTGCATTGAGCTTTCAATTCAATTCAGAGACATTTCTTAAGCGACTTCTCTGTATAGCAGCTGCTCATGTTCAGGGCTGAGGATACAAGGGTACATTCCCAAACAGAATCTGCTTGCAGGAGCTCACAATTATGTAGAAATTTAAAAAAAAAAACACTTAGTATTTACAAAGCATTTAAGATCTGTCAAATTTTTATACATACTGCCTCATTTGAGCTTCATGACAACCTGGGGAAGGAAATACTACAGGCAGTACTATTCCCATTTTACAAATGAGGAAATCGAGGCTTAGAGGGTAAGAGTTGCTGGCCCAGGGTCACACAGCTAGTAGGGCGAGATGCAAGACTGGAATTCAGGTCCAGCACTTTCTCTACTCCATCCTGCTGCTGTTCAAATCAAGATAGAAAAGACCTGTGTAGAATTCAAGTATAACACTAGGACATGAACAGGCAGTTTTTGTGGCTAAAAATCCAAGCTATCAATGACGACATTGTTGCTGATATTAAAGGCACCCTGAGGTTCCAGCTCCCATCCATTAGGTTGGCAAAGATGACAAAGGAAGCTGATGACACATGCTGGAGTGGCTGCAGAGAAGCAGGCATGCTGACTTGCTGTGAGCGGAGCTGTGAACTGGTCCAGCGATTCTGGCAAGACTGGGAACAATGCCCAAGAGCTCCTGAGCTGAGCACACGCTCTGACTCAATTACATCATTACTGGGCCATTAGGCCAGAAGCTTCTTGACAGCAGGGACTGTCTTTTGCCCTTCTTTGCAGCCCTAGTGTTAAGCTCGGCGCCTGGCATATGGTGGGCATGCATTGACTGACTCAGTCTATTCCCCAAAGGAAAAAAAAAAAGAGATCCAGGACCCATATGTACAAAAATATTTATAGCAACTCTTTTAGAACTTTGATCAAAGCAATGATAAATCACAAGCTCAGAAGACTGAGGATGACACATGTCACTCCTGCCAGGGAGGAGATGAATGTAAAAAAGACAGACAGACATTTCTGGGTGTGGTCAATGTAGGAATGTTTTGCTGACTATGCACATTTGTGGTGAGTGTTATTTTTCATTTCATTACTCATTTGTTTAAAATTTGTTCAAAGGGAGGCGGGCAGTGGGAGAGACAGATTATAAATACTCATAAAAACAAATAAATTTGTTCTAAAGAGAATGGATTTCAGGAGACCAGGATTCAAGTGTAAGCTGTTCCACCTGCTATGTAGCAGACCATGGCCAAGTTCCTTATTTCTAGGCATCATTCCCATGCCTGTAAAGTAGGGGAAATGATTCTTGCAATCCTTAATTCACCAGGATTAAAAAAATTTTTTTTTAAATTCATTGGGTTTTTATGAAGAAAGTTTAGTAAATGTCAACTATAGCTTTCCTATGCCCCACCATGTTCTGCCTTCTATCATACTTAGCACATGAACTCTTTGGATGCTTGGAATGTGCCATTTTCTACTTCTGTATTGCTAGTATTCAGCATGTAATAAGCATTTAATCAAAGTCAGTTTAATGGAAGGAAAAGTATAAAATGAGATAGAATATTTTTGATTAATAGAGATTTTTGTTCTTTGGAGGTTTAAGACAAGATGCAGCGGCAATGTCCAGGGTCAGCAAGAACTGCAGTGTATACCGAATGAGAAGAGAGCCTGTCTGGGACTGGACTCATCCTTAGAACAGAAGGCAGGAGTAACACATTACGCTACCCCAGGCCCCAGCTCCCTCCTCACCGGCTGTGCTTCCAGGCGCTCCTGATGTCCTTCAATTTGCTGTTTCTCATGTTTGCCACCGAGAAGATGAAAAGGTATTTGTACATGTCCACACATTTTCGAAGCTGTGGGAAAATTCGAGAGGTTAGACCACTCAGTCCCTCTCTTATTACTTTTTCCTACAATATCTAAGGCCCTGAGCCTGTAATAATATGTATCATAACTACATGCTTGTGTCTTATTCCATGATGGGAGGGGCTGGGTCCATCCACAGCTTGTGACGCAGTGCTGTGCACACCACAGGCACATAACAAATATTTGTTGAATTTAATTGGTCAATGTTTTAGGAAAAAAATAAGGCTGGGACTTTTTACTGGACCCTAACCCTCAGAAATCTCCCTTCCAACCTCTGCCAGAGTCTTTCCGTCAACAGTGGTCACTACTTCTCTCTAACCCTAATGAAATTCTTGCTTCTTTAGGCCTTAACCTTCCTCTCTGCCACTTCTTGCCAGGCTGTCAGAAGAGCTTAGTATCATCAATTCTGTAATTCTATCATTGTTTAAGTGGCTAATTTCCCTGACTCTCTCAAACACTCGGCTTTTGGTCAGAAGAGGGATGGAAAATGATGACACCGATGGGGTGTCTGAACCTCAATTCCAAGATGATATTTCTCCCTAGCCTCAAAACACTATCCCTGACAGTTTTCTCCCCAGCTCAAAGACCCTTTCTCTGGCAATAATTCAGGAGTGGGCCCAGTGAGGTAAACTATCTCATTATCTTGTAACAACAAAATTATCATGTTCAGATTCCCACAGTCAAGATAACTTATATAAGATCCAGAGGTCAAGTTATAGACATCAACTCCCGAGGCTATCCTGTCTCTGACATAACAGACAAAAATACACCCCTACACCCCTTAGGAACCCTCCCCCCCTTTCCAGTAGTTAAATGAGGCCTGTGACCAAGGCTGTATGTTATCACCTAATTAGCACACTTGGCACACAATCCACTACTTTTCCTATATAAGCTTTAGCATGTTTCCTGTTAAGCTGCAGAATTCCTTAAGGAGTTCAGCCCACCACATTAGCATTACAATAAACTTTTTGCCACCTGACTGGAAGACTGCTTGAGCTCATTCCAAATGGCCCTGTCCTGGACTTTGGTCCTTGGGGGGGTCCCTGAACCTCCCAAAACCACATCAACACCACGTTCCTCTTACCTCTTCTATCAGGTTTTGTTTGAGTTCTAAGCCCTTCTTGGTGGTCTTCGTTAAGGAAACTGGGACAGAGGAGAGAATGAGTGCTTAATTTTGGTGGGCTTAAGACAGTGGAATATAGATAGGAGTGACCAAAGCAGGCGATTTCAAGATGGAGATTTCAATCTCCAAAGGACCAATGACTATAGACCCTTTACTAGCCCACCTTCCCTGTACTTGAACCCTAGATCTGCTCAGAGGAAATTTGTATCTTAAGATACACTGCCTTGGGACAGAAGTACAAAAAGAAGTACCAAAAAACCGGGCCTGGAAATCCCGAGGCTTGGGGGCAAGCTCCAGCTCTACCACAGACCTGCTGCATAAGTAACCCTGGGCATTAGGGGGAGGGATTACCATAAATAATTCTAAAATGGGCCTTAAAAATCATCTAGCCAATTCCTTCACGTTACAGAAGATGAGACTGAGCCCCAGGAAGGAAAAGGTCCCAGGACCAGCTGGAATCGGAACCCAGATCCTGATTCCAAATCCAGGGTGCTTGCTTACTACAGCCCAGTACACAGTAAGTGATGAATAAGTGCTTGTGGGCCTCCCCCCTTCCCAGGGGTGCTGGGAGGACAGCATAAAGAGCGAGACTTGCTAGCACTGGAAGGTTTGCAAAGCACTTTACAATCCTCATTTCACTTGATTTGGGAGGAGCCCAGGAGGAAGGTCTGTGTCAACAGACCTGAGGCATCCAGGTGGTGCAAAGCACAGCTCCATGATGGGCCTGAGTTCAAATCCAGCCTCAGACACTTCCTAATTGTGTGACCCCAGGCAAACTGCTTCATTTAGGTCTGCCTCGGTTTCCCCATCTGTAAAATTAGAATTACGTCGCACCCTCTTCCCAAGGTGGTGGTGAAGATCAAAGATGAGACAATTGTAAAGCGCTTAGCACAGTGCTCGGCACACAGCAGGCGCCACATCAAGGCGCTCCAGAGCTTAGACAACACCCTGAACGTGGAGTGAGTGATTCTGGCCAAGGTGCTGACCAGCTGACCCTACCTCCTCACCCCCAGCCGTTTTCATTTGTAAAGGCGGAAGGAAAATTGCGGTTGGGAGGGAGAAGTCCTTGTCCCTCTCCCTGCCTCAGTTTCCCCAATGGCCCTCGCTCCTAGGGAACCTGCAAAGGGCCCGAGCTGTTCGGGGATAGGATGAGGGTCCTGGGCTCCCTAGAACCCGCCCCGAGGCTGCCTCGGCAGCCCCCGCAGCCCGGCCCCGACCAGACGCCCTCAGGCCTCACCCTTCTTGTCCCGCTTGGACTTAGGCATGTTGCTCCCAGCACGTGCGGCCTCCCGGCTGCGCCTGCGAGGACCCCGGCGCCGCGAGGGCTCTTGGGATCCCGACTGCCCAAGGTGCCTATATCGAGCGCCTGATCCCGGCTTCCGTGGCTTCCGCGCCCTCGCACAGCAGCGTGCTCGGCTGCCCCGCCTCCACGCCCAGCTCCGGCGCACGCGCCTGCGCCTTCCCCCGCGGTGAGCCCGTGAGGCCGGAAGCGCTGTGCATGCCGGGCCGGCGGCGGTCCGGACCCACGGCCGGTTTCTTCATCATGGCGGCGGCGCTTGCCGCTCGGCTGTGGCTCTTGGTCACGCTCCTGGCCCCGGCGACGGCCGTTTACGAGGACCAAGTGGGCAAGTTTGACTGGTGCGTACGTCGAGTGAAAGCACCACCCTGAGCTTGGAGGGGTCTTTCAGGGGGTTCACGGCTTGGCTTCCAAGTCTCGTAGCCTCGGGGTCAGGGGTCACCATCCGGGCACCCAGAGGAGCGTGGGTCAGAGGTTACCGCGGGGACACTCCTCCCCACCCTCTCCCGACCTGAGTCACGTCACCCGGGGTCAGAGGTCACTGACCTGTAGTGATCTCTTTTCCACCCCATTCATCTGGACTCTCAGCCCCCCTGGGGACCGCAGCGGGTGGTTAGCGTGGGTTCACGCGTGGGGCTGGGAAGGGCAGGGTCCTCTGCTAAGTGAGGGACGAGATGAACGTAGAGCTGGAATGGGAAGGAAGCTCAGCGGCCTTGGAAGCCAAGCCCCTCATTTTACAGTTCAGGAAACTGAGGCCCAGAGAAGGGAAGTGACTTACCCGAGGTCACAGAGGAATGGCAGGGGTGGGATTTGAACCCGGGTCCCGTGACTCCAAAACCAATTCTCTTTCTGTTGTAACAGATAGATTTGCAGTTCTGAAGTTCCCAGGACGCCACCCATCCCTACCTCTGACCAGTTCTAAGTTCTCTTTCAGTTCTGACATAGATACTTAGCCTTGATATTTTTAGGTTCTAGATTCCATCGTGGTTCTGACATTCAGGGTTCCATCTGACATTATGTTCTAAATGAAATTCTAAGTGCCCTCCCAACATTGACATTCTGTGTGTTCTAAGGGCCCTCCCAGCTCTGACATCCTGTGTTCTAAGGGCCCTCCCATCTCTGACATCCTAAGGAAGCTAGGAGTTATAAGAGAAAGAAATGAGGAGCAATGCATTCCACAAATGGGACTAGTCTGGGCAGAGGTACAAAGACTGGAAATAAGAGCGTTGTGTGGGAGCATTGGCTGATAGACCAGTTTGGTTGGACCATAGAGTGCATAAAGGGTAGGAATATGTTGTGAATCTGGGAAAGTTTAACTGCCCCAGCACAGTGCCATCCACAAATGATCGTCTGGAGGACCTCAATAAATCCCACTTGCATTTGGACTTTATGTAGGATGTCTTTGATGACAATTGCAAACCCTTCCTGGTGTATGTCATATTTGATACAGATAATCAGAATGTTGTTGAAAATAAGTTGTCTCTGTGATTTCATCTGTCAAGGAATCTTAACATGCATGGGAGACACCTTGTTGGAGGAGAATCTTCAAGGCTATATTTTGTCCCTACCGAGTCCAGTGCTTTTTTTATATCAACAAATAGTAAACACAATAGGATCTTGTGTTCCCTGTACCTCTCAGTCATTTATGTGAATGAAGATGTCTGCTATAAAAAATGGCTTGTGAAAACCCTATTCTTTTTCCTATTTTCATCAAGAATTTCCTCAAGATGGCATTGGATAATTCTCAAAAATATTGTGTTACAAATGGGAAAAGAACCTACATGTACAGAAATATTTATAGCAGCTCTTTCTGTGGTGGCAAAGAACTGGAAATTGAGAGGATGCCCATCAGTTGAGGAATGACTGAACAAGTTGTGGTTTATGAATGTAATGGAATACTGTTGTTCTATAAGAAATGATGAGCAGGCAGATTTCAGAAAAACCTGGAAAGACTTGTATGAATTGATGCAGAGTGAAGTGAACAGAACCAGGAGAACGTCATACGCAGTAACAGCCACATTGGGCAATGACTTACTTTGATAGACTTATCTCTTCTTAGCAATGCAAGGATCTAAGACAACTCCAAAAAAAAAAAAGACTCATGATGTAGAGTCTGAATGCAGATAAAAACATACTATTTGCTCTCTCTTTTTTTTGTTGTTTCTTCTTTCTTGTGGTTTTTCCCATTGGTTCTAATTCTTCTTTACAATATGACTAACGTGAAAATGGGTTTAATGTGAACGTATATGTTGAGCCTATATCAAAATTACATGCTGTCTTGGTGTGGGGGAAAGGGAAAGATGAAGAGAAAATTTGGAACTCAAAATCTTATCAAAGTGAACGTTGGAAACTAAAAATAAATAAATTTAGTTTTTGGAAAAGGGTTAGGGTAAGCTGAACAGAAAACCATATTGTGTTACAACGAGAAACGCGTAAAGGTTGGTACTGATTGCTGCCTTCTCAGCTGCCTTGTCTGGAGAGTTAAGCTGTCTGTCCATGATTTTTTTTTCATTATTTGGTATCTTCTCTTTCAGGTTCTGAAATTTATTCCCACTTTCAAAGTCCTGCCACTCCCCCCCGCCCCAGCATATATTTCTTCTGGCTCTGCTTGGCCTTGGTTTAGCCAGCCTTTCTACATTTATTTTCTGTGATACCATTTCTGCTTTCTCATATGGCACCCTGGAGACCAGAGTGATGTTGAAAATTGGTGTTAAATGGTTTGTTATGAAATGCTGACACTTTTGTCAGTTGTCCTTTTTCTTTCACTTGTTAACATTTAACATTTTATTTTTTTTCCTCAATTACATGTAAAAACAATTTTAATATTCTTTGTTTTCAAATTTTGAGTTCCAAATTCTCCATCTCCGCTCCCCCACATTGAGAAGGCAAGCAATTTGATACAAGTTATACATGTGTAGTCATGCAAAGCACATTTCCGTGTAAGCTGTGTTGTGAACTTTTTCTTTCATTTTTAAAGAACCTTGGGATGTTCTGACTTGGTTGGGTCTCATTCCAAGTTTTCTGTATTCTTTCCCCTCTACTATTTTTCCAATATTTTGTAAGGTAGTTCTACTTAAAAATCTTTCACCTGCAATACTCTTTCATAATGTTTTGCAGATAAGTTTCTGTCCTGCACTACTGTTGCCCTAGGATGCCATGTGTTTGCACTGAGCAAAGAATAATAACAATAAAAACTGATACTTGTGTAATACTTTAAGTTTTGTGAGGCAATTTACAGACATTCATGTCAATTAATCCTCACAACAATCCTTTAGAGCAAGAGTCTTAACTTTTTTCGTGTGTCACAGATCCATTTGGCAGTCTAGTGAAACCTAGGGACTTCTCAGAATAAATTTTAAATATATAAAATAAAGTATGTTAGATTACAAAGGAATATTAGAATAGATTTATAAAAATATTTTTTAAAATATTAGAATAGATTTATAAAATGATGTTAGAATAGATTTATAAAAATATTTTAAAAAACAAATTCATGGGTTCCAGATTAAGAATCATTCCTACAGAGTAAAGATGACAGGAAATATCCCAAACCTACAAATGTTGGCCAAGGCGGTTTCTGAGCCTTTTGGCCTCCTTGTTGTGATTTCTTTAATTAGTCAGAGAAATTAGTTAAACTTCTCTAAGAAATCATGTTGGTTTACGTCATTGTGGTTTTCTTTATTTCCTGTTTTTTGGCATCAGTAGCTTGTTAGATAAAGTCTGTTATGTTTTCATCTCTTCTAATTTAATATTGGTTTAAGTGCAGGGGTGGAAAACCTGTGGTCTTGAGGCCACATGTGGCCCCTCTGACTTACAGCTTTGTGCTAATGAATCAGTGGTGTTACTACACATAGCAGGTTCAGAAATTGCCACATTGCTTCATATTTACTTAATGTGTAAACTTTTCAGGGGTATGACCTGGGTATATATTTTTGGTAACAAAATAGTATCACAGTCATCATTATGCACTAATTTTTCTGGGTTCATGTAATTTCTTCATTTTGACACGGGTGTCATTTCTGGATAACATCTTCCTGTCTACCCTCATTGCAGAATTGAACTCTTATTACAAAGAAAGTTAAGCAAAAACAATTGATATTAGGAACGGCTAGGTGGTGCAGTGGGTAGAGCACCAGCTCTGGAGTCAGGAGGACCTGAGTTCAAATACGGCCTCAGACCAGACACTTGATACTTACTAGCTGTGTGACCCTGGGCAATTCACTTAACCCCCGATTGCCTCACCAAAAAAAAAAAAACAACCGAAAACACAATTGATACTATGACTGCATCTCAGTATGTATATGGTCAGTAAACATTTGTTAAACGCCTATTATGTGCCAGGCACTGTGCTAAGTGGTAGGGATATAAATATAAGAAAAAAAAATATAACAGAGGAAGAACTTGCACCGCAGGAAGCTAGAAATGGGATTGGAATGGTGGTGGAGAGGGCGCATGGAAGAGAAGTCCCAAAGTCATGCAGCCAGTGCAGGAATGAGGAGTGATGTTCTCTCTAAATAGATTCCCACCCTTCCTCTGAGAGCAGGAAATAGGTTCCACTTTATGTTTCTCAATGACTAAAATTACTCATTCCAGCTTTTCAGAGTTCAACTTTCTTTTAGTGTTCTTTTCATTTGCGTTCTCATATATTGTAGTCATTGTGTGTTGTTCTTCTCAGTCTTGCTTTATTGGCACTTGGTGCACAGCTTTCTGTGCTTCTCAGAATTTCTTTTAGAGGATATTATTGACAGTAACAGCCCGTTATATTAGGGAAGAATTGGAAACAAAGTCGATGCCCATTGATTGGAGAATGGCTAAATGAGTTGTGGTGCACAGATGTACAGTGATGGGATATCATTGTGTTGTAAGAAATTATGAGTACAGCAAATGAGCATGGGAAGATTTATAAACTCATGCAAAGTGAAGTCAGCAGAACCAGGAAAATTATGTGAGTAACAACTGCAACCATGTAAATGGAGGGAACAATGACATGGTGATTGAAGCTAAATGGTAAGAAATAGTAATGACCAAATTAGCTGCAAAGGGAAAAGACGAGAAGGCATGTCTCTCCCCTTCACTCTTTGCAGAGGTAGGTGGACCTCAGTGTCGAACTTAGCAGCTCCTGTCAGACTTTTTTCCTGGGTTAGTTGATTTTGCTAAACTTTCTTTATCCGTTTTAAAAAAAAAATTATTCTTTATTATAAAGGATTTTTTTGTAAGTAGGGTGTGGTGGATAAGGGGAAGTGACATAAAACTACATATAAATAAAAGTTTGTTTTAAAAATATCCCATTATATTCATATGTATTTGGAGTCTTAAAAAAAATTCTGAGTTCTTTTACATGGGGATTCTTATGTTTTCCTGTGTCTCCATAAAAGTCCTTGCTCAACTGCTTCATCGTGGCATCAAGGTGACCTTGGGTTCTCGAGGTCCTTTCAAACTAGAAATCCTTCACGTATTTGCTCTTTAATAGACCATGGTGGCTTTGTTCAGAGGAGCTCATTGGCCGTAAGAGGATGGATTTTTTAGCCACTGCAACTTCCAAATACCATCCACCAAGTTATGGAGGGAGTATTATTGAAGAGATCAACAAAATCACAGATCACCGAAGTATAAGAACTATATAATATTTTTATGCTGTAGCAAGAAGAGATTGTTCTCCTCTTTTTAAAAGGAGAAAGACCGAGACCTGTAGAAAAATATGGTATAGTGAGAAGTATGCTGGACATGGAGACAGAAGAGACCTTGGTCCTGTCTTTGATACTATCAAATGAACTTTCTTAGCTTCAGTTTCCTTATCTGTAAAATGGGACTGGTGGTGTCTATAGTACAAGCTCATAGGATAAGTGTGAGGCTCAGATGAGATCATGAAGTGAAATGAGGTGCAGTGCTTTGCAGACCTTCAAGTTACATGTAAATAGCTATTGTTACCAGTCATTTCATTCTTCTTTTCTGATTGGGTTCAGATAGGATAGTTCCAAGAACAAATTGCTAATCTATTATTGTTATTTTACTTTTAATGTTTTTAGACTGTGATCCAGAGGGATAAAATGACTTTTTTTTTTATAATTGAAGAGAATTGTGATGTCCACTTATTGAAAGCATCTTTGGGGCATCTTTGGTAGCAGATAGGATGACAGGATAATTTGTACCTTATCCTCTTCCCACACAGTTGGAGTTGATATTTAAAAATTTTTTTCATTCCATGTAATTTGGAGATATGAGTGTTCAATATGATAACAGTTATTAAAACTGTTGTTATATTTTTGAGGATCACTGTTCTGTCTGAGTGTTTGTTGGCCACACTTCTGTCTGTAGAGATACTTTACTTCCAGTATAATTTATTTGTCTAACTCTTAATGATATTTTGGGGATAATGTTTGTAGTATGAACAATTTGTTGTTTCTTAGCTTACAAAGGTTAGTGAACTTCCAGATGGATAAGTCTGGCCAGCTGATTGTTTCTCTCTAGGTATCTAATAGCTGCTACATTTTTGCAACCTGTAGTGACATGTTGCAGTTTCCACCACTTCATTGTACAATCTACAACAGTAGAAAAGTCTTCCTAGATATACCTCTGGTGTGGCAGTTACCTGATCATAATCTCTAAAAAAAAAACAACCCTGCATTTCAATGAACAGATAGAATTGTTTTTGCCTTTTTTGCATCCCCAGCACTTAGCACAATGCCTCATACTACAAGCAAGAATTTCTGCTCTGCTTTTGTTTTCTGGGTTCTATTTTGGATATTTTTTTTGTCTTCTTTAATCAGATAATATGGTCTTTAGAGTTTATTGTCTGTACTGCCTAGAAATTGATGTAATCTTCCAGTATCTTACCTGAAGTCTTCACTAGTTTTTTTAAGTTACATTCACCACAGTGGTATTTGATAGCTGACCTTAAGAGGGTTTTCTGGTGAGTTCCATCTTTCTTCCTTTGCTCCTATGCTTACAGGTAGAAAAAAAATTGTTTTTACATTCTTGGTCAAATATTGTGGAAGAGTGCATTTACTTATGATGGTAATAACAGAGATGGGCTTTTTGGAATGACTGCATTTTGACATCGTTAGTCTGCTATTTGTATTGGTGCCATGACAAAGGGGCCTAAAAACTCCATTCTGAGTTTGTCTCCTTTTCAAAATCGTTTGAGGAATTAACGATACTTTTTGCCATCTTTTCATTATTAGGCAGCAGTTCTGGAGTTTGTGTTAAGTGTAGAACTTCAGTACCTTTATTTTTTCCCCCTTCAGATTTAAGTACCCTCCAATATCTACTCTTAACTAATCTAGGTTTTTGACTGTACATTCCATGCAGCCTCTGAGGCTGAGGTACAACAAAGTATGGATTGATTCTCTGCTGCTTGTGCTAATTTTGGCCTGACAATGAACACCAGGAAAACAGAGGTTCTCCACCAGCCAGCACCACACCATCCATATATCGAACTATTGGTTACAGCAAATGGAGGAATATTGAATGCTGTGGATAGGTTCCCTTACCTTGGCAGTATACTTTCCAGAGATGTACATATTGATAGTGAGGTTGATGCACGCATTGCCAGAGCCAGCTCAGTTTGGGAGGCTCTGAAAGAAAGTGTGGGAGAGAAGGGATAGTTAGATTGAAATAGAGCTGTTGTGCTGACGTCATTGTTGCACTGTGAAACCTGGACAGTCTACCAAAACCATGCCAGGAAACTGAACCACTTCCATTTGAATTGTTCCAAGAGGATTCTGAAGATCACCTGGCAGGATAAGGTACCTTAGGTACTGAGGTCCTTTCTCAAGCTAAACTGCCAAGCATTCAGACTGTACTGCAGAGAGTGCAGCTCTGATGAGCTAGTCACGTTGTTTGAATGCTGAATGTATGCTGCCAGAAAGACAATTTTACAGAGAGCTCACACAGGGCAAGTGCTTACGTGGAGGTTAGAAGAAGTGATACAAGGACATTGACAAGGTTTCTCTGAAGAACTTTGGAATCAGTTGCATGACATGGGAGGCACTGGCACAGGACCACCCAGCATGTAGTGCCCACTTCAAAGAAGGTGCTGTGCTCTGTAAGCAAAGCAGAATTGCAGTAGCAGAAAAGAAATGTGAGATGTGCAAACTTAGAGACATCTCTATTCCAGATATTCATGTGGACCATTTGTGCCCGAACTGTGATAGAGCCTTCCAAGCCTGTATTGATCTGATCAGCCATAGTCAGACACATTGTACCTTGCCTCCAACATAGTCATTTTAGATTTCTTCAAGAATGAAAGACAGTCAAGCATTCTAGGTTTAGAGATAAAGCTATTTCTTATGCTTTTGTTATGATATAGTATTGGCAAGTAATAAGAGCATTCATATCTTGAATCCATTTTGTGCACACTTTTAGTTTGCTTTGGTGGTCAGCACCATATGCATGGAAATGTTTATCTACTGGTGTATTGGATTAATTTTTTGAAGGCAGGCCACTCATTCTATTACATTAAGCTGATTATCATGAGAGTTTTAAGTAGGGCCACCCTATAACCCTGTGTTGCCCTTCTATTGCTTAGATTCATAGGATCCATTACATTTAACTGACCAGTGTGCTGACCTAATCAGCATTATCATCAGAGTCCAATTGGCTAACATTTCAGGGTTCTTGTCTAGCCTTCACAGCTATGTTTGTGGTCTCAGGGCACATGGAAACCCCCACTCTATCTGACATTCCTTTACTTCGCTCTGGTCCTCAAAGGAAATAACCAACAGGTACCTGGTGGGACTCTTTTATCTCATGAGAGACTTGGGCTGAATATGTAGTTCAAGTAGTCATCTGATTGGAGATGGTAATTGGCTCCATGGGCACTAATGAGGGCATCCGATAGGAAACAGAGATGATTGTTTGAATTTTGCCTTTGAAAGCCAGCTGATCTTCTGTGGGCTAGAAGGGAGGGCAGTGATAGCTACAATCCATTATTGATGACTTCATAAAGGGGCTTCCTTTATTTTGCTTGACTGTTCTTATAATGTTCCAAAGGAGGGCTTCTGCTTATAGGAGAGGGTAAGGTAGTAATAGAGAGATAAACTTTTTTTTTTTTAAAAGAAAAGAACGTCATGAAAACAGTAAAATCCACAGAAGAAAACAGTAAGAAATTTAGGAAGAGACATAAAATATTGCTCCCATGTTAAGTTTAATATGCTCTCATAAAAACCTACCTAACAAGTTCACAGTTCTTCTTTTTTGTTTTTTGTATATTGAAATGTTTGTGTTGGTAGTTGTTAATCTTGTAAAAAAAATTTTTTTTAGTGTTATAATCAAAGCCCTTTTGAGTGACTGTCTTTAGGCCTTTAGGGATTTTTTTCCCCCAGAATCCAGTAACAACGAAAGAAGATATATTAGATTATAGGCTCATTGAGGGCAACATTTACATTTTTTCTCTAATATTAGTTAGCATACCCAGTTTTGTGCGTGGAATAGGTGCCTGTCAGTTGCTGAGATGGTGGTAGTTTTTTCCTAATGCTGTATTGTACTGTTGGTTCCTATGCAGTACTTTTGTGATCTTACCTGTGTGAGTTATTCTCTTAAATCAAAGGAAAAACTATTAAAATTTTCTCTTTGCTAAAGGCATAATAATAATTGTGTAAGTTAATAATGCTTTATGGTTTATAAGGCACTTTCTTTACAAAAATCATAGCGTAACTATCATGCCCATTTTATATATAGGGAAACAGATTCAGAGATATAAGGTAACTTACAAGTGTTCACATAGCTAATGAGTGATTAGCATCAGCACTCCTCATTCCAATATTCTTTCTACTACACTGTGCTTCCTTCATCACTCATACATCTGAAAGGAATCTTAGAGCCTACCTCTCTTCTCCCCAAAATGAGAAAATGAAGGCCTAGAGAGATTCTTTTAATTTTCTTTGTTCTTGAACATATTCTAGTTCTTTCTGCCTTATCTCGAAAGGAGCCTCTCCAATAACCAGTGATTATATCCCTAGATTCAGTAATGTTGCTGATAACACCTTGCATGTGTATTTTTCTGTTAAACTTTTCTGAAAACAGTATCTGTAATGTTAACTGAGCTCTTGCTTTCCTACATCCTCTCATCCTTAGGAGGCAGCAGTATGTTGGGAAGCTCAAGTTTGCCTCCTTGGAATGTGCCCCTGGATTGAAGAAGATGGTTGTGGCTACAGAGGAGAATGTGATTGCAGCACTAAACTCCCGAACGGGTGCTATCTGTGAGTGACCTCAGCAGGCTTTCACCCCCCTGGGGTCGAACTCTTTACGCCTTGTGCCCTCTGGCCACTGGGTACCCAGCGTCAGGGAGAGACTTTCCAGAAGATACGTCTGCTTTGAATTTTTTTCCTAGTCTTCATGTGTTTGAATAAATATTTAATATGGCCATGTAGCCAGCCTTTGGGGTTTGTTCGTGTGTGCATCAGACCTTTTTCTAGGTCCCGAATGCCTTTAAACCGACGTGCCGTCCTTGTGTTGCACACATCTGCGTTAAGGGACTGCTTTCTCCCCTAAGTTTCATAGACTGCCTTGATTTGTTTTGTACTGGTTTTTCATGTTAAACTTCTGGAAAGTGATCGACAGCTATGGCTTTCCCCATATTCCAGTAAGTTCAGTTTATCTCGACATTCTCATTTGGCAAATGTGGAAACAGTACTTATGACCTTCCTACCCCCTGCTCTCATCCCACCCGTGGCCTCAACTTCGGTAGGGGCTATGCCATAGATAAGTTCTCTGTCTTGGTGCTTATCATCCTCAGTCTCTGTGTGCCCTCTGTTCCACTGCTGAGAGGGTTTTTCTTTCTTGCTTTTTAGTGTGGCGCCATGTAGACAAAGGTACTCAGGAGGGAGCAGTTGATGCCATGCTTCTTCATGGGCAAGGTAAGCAGAGGTGTTCTTTGTTTTCTACAGGTTAGTATCTCTTTGCCCCCATACATTTGTTTCCTCTTTGGGATCAGTTCCATTTTGTATAAGAGAAAAGACAAAGTACCCCCATAATAGCTGTTAGATTTCATCAATCAGAGGGGGCACCCTCAAGTTTTTGGGAGGCTATTGAACTGCAGCATGGAGCAAAGGGATAATTTTGGTCTTTTCTTCTCTAGATGCGCTCACTGTGTCCAATGGGGGCCGGATCCTGCGCTCCTGGGAGACCAACATTGGGGGCTTGAACTGGGAGATGTCCTTGGATTCTGGCAGGTAGGGGAAGGGCTGTTTCATCTTGGTTGAGACAAGGTTGCAATTCACCAAATTACAGGTGTGATTGGACATTCCCATCAACCTCTTGGATATTTCCCCAGGAATTATAGAAATTAGCACACTATATGCTCAGCTCTTGGTGTCTAGTGTTTGGGATTATAGAACTGTACTTTTCATTTATTGATTAAGAATTTATTGAGTACCTGCTGTGCAGAGCTCTGTACTTGATACTATTTTGTTCTTGTATAATATTCAGTTGGATCTTTAATAATAATAACTGAACCGTAATTAGCACTTTAAGCTTTACAAACTCTTACTTTCTACAACCCAGTGAGGTAAGTCGTATAATCACTGTCCTCCCTGCCTTGTAAATGAGCAAGGAGGCTCAGAAAATAGGGGACCTGTCCATGATCCCACAGCCAGGACATGTCAGGGCTGGTCCTTACATCGGGCTTGTCTCATTAGAAGGCCAAGCTTCAGAAATAAAAGAGGTGAAGTGACCTACATTTTTAGGATGTCAGGCTAAGAAACCACCTGAGTTTTTGTAAGTATTTGCTTATAAGTGTTACTAAGTATTTGATTAGGTTTTTGAGGCATTTGCATTCATTTCTCCTTATCTTGGAAGGCAGGTTGATTTTGTTTTGTTACAAGGGGAAAATTGATAGTACAGGAGTTGAATCATTTCCCAGGGTTACCCCTGAATTGTTGATCTGGGATGGCACGTAGCTTTTGGCTTCTGCTTTACTAGTCCAGTGAAACATTTTAATGGATAGAAAGAAGCTAGAAGCAGAGGTTGTTAGAAAGACAGCACCAGTGCTGGGGGCAGCAGTGCTGGCTTGCCTTGTAGTGACCGTCTCCAGTGGACCTGAAGTTGCTTCTCTTCCTTCCACTTGAGCCTCTTGCTATAGTATGGCTCTGGGGGGTTAGGGGAGTAGTTGCCTTGGATTTGGAGGTTTCAGAGTTGGCCTCCCTTGCAGTTGGGCCTCCAGACAGATCTCCCCTATTCTGTCCTGTGTTCAGTTTTCAGATGGCCAGCCTGGTGGGTTTGCAAGATGTGGTAAAATACGTGGCAGTGCTGAAGAAAACCACGCTCACTCTTTATTACCTTTCCAATGGACACCAGAAATGGGGGGAACAGCTTCCAAAAAGGTGGGGACTTGAACTCTGACTTGCTGATGACTGTCATATCCTCTTCTTCATAATTCTCAAAGACCTTTTTGTTTCCTGTTTCCTCACCAAGGCTCCAAGAACATTTATTATTGGGCCTTTTTTGCTCAGGGTTTAATGCCTGACCCTTGTTTAGGTCTATGCCCCAGGACTTGGTTGAACCTGGAGGTCACTTCACAGAGAGAGAAGCTCACATCACATTTCTTCATGGGCAATGAAAGTTCAGAGAGCAAGAGATAACTCACTTATCCTTGTCCATTGATAGATCTGGTTCCCAGCATGCTCAGTCTACTGAACCCAGGGGGCTGTTTTATCATAAGATTGGAACAGCTCACTCATTGGGTAGTCCAGTGTGGGTATGGAGGAGGGGTGAGGGCAATTGGCATTGAAAAAGAGAAACTTGAAAGGAATAGCACAGGGGAGATGGCCATAAGGAGAGTGGTGTCTCTGGAGCTCATCTTGGTGACCCTTCATGCTGGGGAGCATGGCTGCGGGCTTGGGGCGACCAACACAGGATTGTCTGGTTTTGAGGCTGAGCCTGTTGTCTCCTGCGTTTTCTCTCCTCTCTTAGTGAGAGCGTTCAATATCAGATGGTGTATTCATATGGCACTGGAGTGTTGTGGGTCCTGGGGGTTGTTCCCAACAGTCATGTGAATGTCATGACCTTTCATGTGGAAGATGGTGAGATGGTTCAGCAGGTATGTCTTGGTACTGGGTGTCAGGGGCGGTTGGGAGGGAATGGCAAAACTATTTGCATCCTGCAGGATGGGAACGAGGGAAGTTATCTAGCTGGGCGGGTGAAGGGGGCTGTGCCAGGCAGAGGAAGTTGTCTTTGTCTTTGCCCTTTAGGCACATCCAGGCAAACAGAGAAAGATGTGGGCAGGGGAGTAATAATTCATAGTAATCTCCTGTCATCAGTGCAGACTGGCCGCTTCTCTGCAGCTTAGAGTCTCAGGGAGTTGCCCAGAGCCCACAGTACACGTCAGAGATGGCATCCAGTCTAGGGCTTCCTGATTCTGAGGGTGGCTTTCTGTCCACTAGGCTACACTGCCTCCAAATCTTCATTTTACTGAAGAAGAAGAAACTGTGGTTCAGAGAGGTCACATAGCTAGGGAGTGTTCAGAACCAGGACTTGAACCGAATCCTCTAACTCTTAGACCAGTGGTCTTTTCCCTGTACTACAGAGTGCTATAGAGAATAATAGAATGATACCTTAGTGGTTCATGGGGCTGGCATCTCACTAATATAGGTAGCGCCTCTGCCAATGCAGATCGCAAGCCTTTGGAGAGCTGCTGTGGCCTTGAGATTCATTATCCTGCAGTCAGCCTGGGGATCCTGCCACACTTTAACCGGGCTGGGTCTCAGAGACCGTCCTTAGGCTGTGCTGAGACCTGGCTGTGCCCCTCCTCTGTCTGCACAGTGGTAGGGGACATGGTGGTCACCTCTGTCCCACAGTGAGGCATTGGAGGAATTCAGTAGTACATAGCTCAGACGTAGAGTATTTACATTAAATCTGTTCTTTCTGATAACTACAATGTAAATAATTTTACATCCAGCCAG